TCATACGGTCAGTTTTAGATCCACTGGAGTGATAGGTTGTAATTTCTATTTTTTCTCTAAATAGGCCATTTTCAGTTGTGTGCAGTCATATGAATCTCTTTTCGGGGTGTATGATGAAATTTGTTTGGCCTAGAAAAATACTGCGTCATCCGTGATTGCATCAGATTTTTATCTAGCTCAGAAAAATATTGTCTCGACTGTCGATTAGTTGTCCTACGATGTCTGCGATGGACCTTCCAAGGAAGCCTAGGAAAATTGTAACGCTGTATGCACACACTAGTAAGCCTTACCAATGATCAAATCAAATTACTATAGACTTGCCCGGAAACTCACCCGATTTAAATGCAGTCTAGGATCTGTGGTCCATCTGCAAGAAACGACTTCGTGCAAAGAGCATATAAAGTACTAATATGTGCACTGGATCATGTTTCATTGAAAAAATCCGAAAAACAGTAAATAATAACGGAATTATTCGTTTCGTTTGAATTAATTTGCACAAGGGTATATATATATATATATATATATATATATATAATTATTTTTTATAAAAAATTATAACATAAATATGTTATAAAATCACTACAAAAATAGCCATTTTGTTTCAACACACTCTGTGTCTTATCAAGTGATGATGTTGAAAAGAAAATAAATGGTTTTAAAAGTTTCAGATTAATTAACGATCCTACACTAGGGGGAAACATTGTTACAAAAGCTAGAATAACCAATCAAAAACGAAGTATAGAAAGATTCAAAAGCTTGACAACGAAATCATGTTATAATAGCTATTCAGATATTTAAAATACGTGTAATATTAAAAATAATTTATACTAACCAATAATTATAAATTATATGATAAAATTTAATATTAAAATTAAAAACTAGCAATTTTTAAATCTAAATTTAATCACTATTACGTTTAAAAACTACAAAATTATTTAGAAAAGACAAAATATATATGTTTATTCAATTCATTTCTTCATTGAAATTACGTTCGACAAGACGCTACAATATATCCGGTCATTTGAAAATACATGTATATATATTTTTTTCTTTTTGTTGGTTATTATGAATTCATTCCATATATACCAATTATATACTTGTATATATATATATATATATATATATATATATATATATATATATATATTACGGATTATCTTCTTTTTTTTCTTTTAGTGCGCTAATCCGGCCATATCCTTTGTGGCGAACTATAATACGCAATGTTGAAAGTAAGATTCTTGCTCAAAATATAATACGCAATGTTGAAAGTAAGATTCTTGCTCAAAATATAATACGCACTGTTGAAAGTAAGATTCTTGCTCAAAATATAATACGCAATGTTGAAAGTAAGATTCTTGCTCAAAATATAATACGCAATGTTGGAAGTAAGATTCTTGCTCAAAATATAATACGCAATGTTGATAGTAAGATTCTTGCTCAAAAAAGTTCATAAAAAAGAATATGGCCAAATTAGCAGACTAAAATAAAAAAAAAGGTAATTGCCCATTACGATCCTTACCCATGCGCCTACATGTACAGAGGCCGCAAAAACAAAATGTGTTTCCTTATTGATATGGCAGATTCTGCAGACTGTAATGTATCTTTGGAGATCTTCAAGAAACTACCAAAATACAAGAAATATAAATCTAAAAAATGCGCTACATGAAGACGTAAACAACTCCGGTAGTATTTGGAATTTTCGGATTGATTGGAAAAGATTTCAATAGACCCATTGAAGTGATTTCTGGTAGCCCATTCCTTAAATAAATACAAACAATTGTACTCTCAAGTACAGCCTACTATTTACTAAGGCCTTTATCTATGTAAAATATGTGTGATCTTGTTTTTTTTTCTTTAAAACTGGAAGGTGGAAAATGCCATTTCTGACCTTAGGCCTCTGGTTGGAAACCGATAAGAAATGAGTATACACAAAAAAATCAAAGAAAATAATAATAATAATAATAATAATAATAATAATAATAATAATAATAATAATAATGCTGATGTTGATCGTTGGTATCTGTACAGATCCTTGAAATTTCTAGGTCATATAATGAGGAAAGCGGGCCTGGAAGATTTGATATTCACAGGACAGATTGAAAGTAAGTGAGAGGAAAAACAAAAACACATAATAATGAGATAACAAAATAAGCTACAACTGAGAGAAAATTGTGGAGAGCCATGATCGTCAACGTTCTGAAGTGACACAACAGATAAAAGAAAACAGATTTGCTTGAATTTTAGGAGAGATATCAAAAAGAAAACATTTCTAAGAGTTAGAAAGAAGAGTAAACTGTGGATTGTCAGCGTCCTGGAGAGAAACATAAAAGAAGATGAATGAGCCTCACTATACAGATGGCCCAACAATGTTTAGGAGAGATAACAAAAAGACAAAATTTATTAAGAGCTACAAAAGGGACGAGATTATGGAGAGGCAAAGTCCTGAAGGGACATAGCCCTTAAAAGAAGAAGAAGTTTGAGTAAATGTATGACGGAACAAGTTTTAGGAGAGAAAAGAAAATGGCATTTTTTTATGGGCTACAAAGGAGAAGGATTTGCGGAGAGCCATGATTGCCTTTAACCTGAAAGGACATGTTACATAGAAGAAAAAGAAGTAATTTAAGACTAACATACACCTCTCTCGTCAGATACAGCATCTGCCCGTTTGATAGACCTTGATTTGGCATGTCCTATATCACTGAAGCACTTAAAATTTTGGAAACGTTAATTAAATAACTATTTCCCATATCAAATTCTTTGATAAATGCCTTGCCAGAATCTACATACTTGTTATGAAACCCGAGTTATTATGATAGCCCTCCTGAGATATTTTCTTAAATAACTCCCTTAGATCGAGACTTTAATATTGTTATCATCCAGGTCCTTGCACCACGGTGATGGTCCAAGGTAGAACCAATAAAGAAGAACTCGAACACGGATATGGAATAATACAGATATATTACAAACAGGAATATATACAGAGAAGTAGAAGTGTTAGTACGAACAATCAGGTTTAGTAGAGACTCCTGACGGACATCACCCCAGCACTAAAAATCTTTTAAATAAAATAACCCATTGAGGTGTTGACATGCCGTAAAACAAACCAAACCAAACCTAATTTAATGTATGCAATCCTAATGTTTCATAATTGTTTCCTAAAGAAAAACATTAGCTATCCGTCTGTCAGTTGACTAATGCTTTACATTAATAATTTAATAGTTGTTAATATTGATATTTTCTGTGTAAGATTATTTTCTTCAGAAGTGACTCACGTTTTACATGCCCTGAAAGAAAATGCGATAAATATTTATAAATATTTCAATAAAAATAAAGAAAATGAAATTATTAGAAATGGTGTCATCCATCGGAATGTCAATCGAAACCTGAAAATCTGTAAAGTTAAAAAACAAACAAAAAACAAACGAATGAATAAATAAATTAGAAAAAATAAATCATTATTATTAAATCATGATTTTTTTTTAAAGTAACAATATTTCAACAAATACAGCAGATTCTCATTTACCCTTAAAACTATCAAAATTCTTTTCGATACCAAATCCCAGGTTCTTTGAACGATAGCCAAAATGTTCAGTCGAAGAATGGGTTTATTTCGGTGCTAATGATTTATTCTTGTGCACTTAAATAAAGGTTTATATTTCGTTGAAACATAAAACAGACTTAGTTCCCCCCGGACACTTATTTCATATATATATATATATATATATATATATATATATATATATATATATATATATATATATGATTATTTTTATAATAAAAAATTATAACATAAGTATGTTATAAAATCACTACAAAATAGCCATTTTGTTTCAACACATTCTGTGTCTTATCAAGTGATGATGTTCTTTAACAATTTAAGCCTTTGGCAATTTCACCCATTGGAACATTAACAATCAAACAACGTGTTAAAGTTATCGAAGTTATTATATCTGCTCTACTTTGTATTGAGCACTCTTTTAAGAATAGTAATTGTTGGTTATTGGAATTCATTCCGTATATACCAATTATATATATTTGATATATATATATATATATATATATATATATATATATATATATAGATAACTAGAATTCGTTTCGAAAAACCCTCGAATTTTTGATTTGCGAATAATCAAATCAATCTCGAGAGAAAAAAGGTTTTAAAAAAAGAAAGAGCTACAAACATGATCTTCTGCCGACAAAAAAAATCGCACAGATACAGGTCAAGCTTATAAAAAAAAAAATATGTACGAGTAAACAACTAACTAACAAAAGCGCTCAATACAACCGTATTCTCAGACCTAGATACACCTAGTAGAGCCTTACTTTCCCTGACGATCCGTTTAGGTGAAACCTAGGTAGGTTTGTCTGGCTCACTAGGTATATATATATATATATATATATATATATATATATATATATATATATATATATATATATGTATATATATATATATATATATATATATATATATATATATATATATATATATATATATATATATATATTATAATTTTTTTTTTAAAAATATGATTCCTTCGCTACATAAGAGTTCTAATGTTTCAAAAAATCAAGAGCAAAAACCTCAATATAATTATTAAAATTAAATTGAATTAAAGTATCAAGCCCTGTTTCATTTTGTGCGAAAATTTAGGAATAACCAATCTTGAAATTTACGTATCTTTATAAGCATGTTCATTCGCAACATTTATTACTATTGAAACGGCTAGGGCGACCATCTTGAGAAGGGGCATATGAATTAATTTGTTTCCGCATATCAGTCCCCTTCGGAAAAAAAATTTATATTGGTATAATTTCTGTCTATTTCAAAGCAAATGATGGCATTCATGTACGCACATTGTCTCGTCAGTCACAGCGAAAGATAGCTGTTGGCACCATAATACGTCGTGAAGTGTCTAAAGAATTTTTTATTTATTTATTCTTTCTTTTTCTAAAGGGCTGTTTCGTACAGAAACGCGTGGTACTGAGCTACAATTTGT